AGGGGGTATACAGGGAGGGAGAGAGGATATACAGGGTGGGGGAGAGAGAGGGTATACAGAGAAAAATACACAGAGAGGATATAATGTAAAAGAAGATGGACAGAGGGAGACTTACTGGGGAAAAAACGTGTGATCTGCTTGCAGCCTCCTTCTCACTGTATAGCAGCTCCGCCCACTATTTCCTGCTTCCTGGTCACATGTTTCCTGTGACATCACAGGGCAAATGCTGCTACCGAGATCAAAGGGAGTTCGTATACTGAACTCTCTTTGATCTCCTGTCACAGAGCCGTGCCGGTCCCGGCCGCATCGGGCACAGCGGATCTGGGGACCGAACACGGCAGTGACAGATGCTGATACAAGTGATCGAGCGTCTATAGAGACGCTCGATCGCTTGACTGTGTTAAGCTCCCGGCCGGCCGTGTAATTACAACGGCCGGCCGGGAAGCAGCTCGTCGGGCTCCACTGTCTGCTCGTCACAGACGAGTGGATTTTTCGAGCCCTGAAAATTGGCATTTGTTTATTAGTTTGTGGATTTGTGGAGATGAGCGTAGCTGTCAAACAGGCTTTTACTGTCTAACATAGTGCAGCTCAAATGCTGTTTTTGCATTTTGCATTCAAATGCAAAAGCAGCATTTGACCTGCTTTGTCTGCAATGTAGATGCATCTCCAATAGGATACGCTGCATCCAGAGAAATGCAATATAAACAGGTCAAATGCAGCCTCAGAACTGCAGTTCACACTGTACCATTGAAGTAAATGGGAATCTAGTGACCTGCATCAACTGTTTCAAGGTAATCATAATCAGACACGCTCTAGATAGCCAAAAACCTTGCCATGCAAGAGGGTGCTGCAGTTACAAAGCAACGGATGGCAGCTTTGCATTGTAGTCCAATAAATCAAAAATGGTGTCCTCAACAAACCAAGATGAGGAGCCTTTTATTAGTCACATAAAGCAACAGCAATGTTTCAGAACCATTGATATTCTCCTTGCTCAGGCAACTGTGATGACTTCCTAATGAGGAAGTCCATGTAGAATCCATTAAGGTTTGGCATCTTGGTCTGGTTTCTCAGGATAATTCGCAGGTCGCTCTCTGGTACACCAAAGTCTCTAAGAGCTCTTGAAACATCATCTTACATATGCAGGAAAAGAGAACCACACAAATGTTGAAATCCATGTAGAGTTTAATAATATTGTCCATAAAGTCTCCACCACCTTTCAGGCATTTACAGGGCTTCCTTCATCAGAGCAATCTAGATCACTCTATAGGCTGTAATTGCTGCTTTGATTTCAATACTTTCAAAGCCCCTGACCCAGAACATGTAGTTATAAAGAATTCTGACTTTTTTGACTTTCAATTTCTGCATGCTTGTTATGGGTTTGTGCAGGTATAATGAAGCCAGGCAACTAGCATTTTTAGAAGAAAGTCCGCAATGGCAGCTTCAAATATACTAAAACCTCTATCTAATAATGAAATGATATGTACTTACCGTTCCCTTCTTTGGTGTGTCAACTTTAATCAAAGCATCCTTAGTGTGGGCCTCAAGAACATCGAGGTCTGGAGTGGTTGGTTGTGATATTGGTGAGTCTTTCACCTTCTTTGCCTTCTTTTTACCTCCCTCCTTATTTTTAGAAGGTTTGGGAGGTTTGGGTGGTTTTGGAGTTTTGGGTAGTTTGGCACTTTTAGGAGGTTTTGCCTCTTTAGGGGGTTTAGGCGGTTTTGGGGGCTTTGACAGTTTTTCACTCTTATTAGTCTTTTTTTTCGTAATTTTTTCTATAGGCGGTGGACTTTCGGGCACCGGCGAGGGAGGTTCTTCTTTCTCGATTTTCTCCACAACATTGTTGCCTTCTGGGATGGTGTTGGCACTAATGTCTGTCTTGGTAACTTTTGATGCATTCTAGGTTTAAAAACAAACAAAAAAAAGATCATGTTAAAATGTAGTTTAATTATGTTAGATAATGGAGCAGGGAAGTCACTCCTCCTCCTACTCCCTCCAAAGGGCTCTGCCAGAGGCTTCAATGAGAGACAGAATATGGGAATCTTGAAACCCTTTGACATGTGTTAAATGTCATGTTTGTAAAACAAATTTTATATATATACAGGGCTTGAAAAATCCACTCGTCTGCGACGAGAGGACAGTGGAGCCTAACGAGCAGCTTCCCAGCCGACCATAATTACACGGCCGGCCGGGAGCTTTACATTCAAGCGATCGAGCGTCTCTCAATACAAAAATTAAAGAATCATAAAAAAAGTAAAGAAGCATAAAAAAATGAAAAAAGAAAAAAACATTTTTAAGTCCCCGCCCCCCACATACACACGCATATATGCGTCGGGTGCGCCTACACGCGAAAACGACGATTACGCCTATTGTGCCGCACATGTTACATATAGCCGCATTTTAATCATTGCCTATGGGCGTTTTTCACGACTTTGCGGGCGCACGCAATTTTAAGGCTTGACATGTTTGGTGTCTATTTACCCGACGTGACCCCGACTTTTATGTTTTACTAAAAATATGGGTAAAAAATAATAACACCCCCGCCCCCCCAACCACCACCAGTGGTGATAATATACCTCCAAAATAAAGCTCTATCTGTCCCCATAAAATTTTAACATAAATTGCAAGGCTATAGTCCGGTAATGCTGACTGGTGGAATTTTTGACTGACTGTTGAGACACCATCAAATTAGATTCTGCGAAAGAAGAAACTCATCCAGAAGTTTCTTGAATTTATTAATGTTATCAGCAGATACCACCGCCTGTGGGAGGGAACTCCAAATTTTCACTACTCTCACAGTGAAATACCCCCTAAGAATTCTAAGATTGAACCCTCTCTCTTCTAACCTCTTGTTATGTCCCCGGGTTCTCAATACAGTTTTCGGATTAAACAGTTTGTGTCTAAAAGTGTGATCCCCATTGATGATTTTGAAGACTGCAATAAGATCCCCTCTCAATTGCCTCTTTTCTAAGGTGAATAAGATTAGATTTTGAATGTGGGCTTCATTTTGAATGCAGGCTTCACATATACTTCTTTATGGTAGAGGTTATTATTAAAGAAGTGAAAGGTTAAAGATTTCAATACCATTCATCCAATGCATCTAAGTGAAGATTTAGATTTATTTTATAAGTGGAGGAATGGGTTAATCTGTCCGTCTTTAACTTTACAGGTGAAACCGCTTTAACAAAGGAAGGTGAAGAGTTGTTGAGTCAATGCAATGAAAAGACTGATGTGAGAATCATCTAATAAAAGAGAGGGTTAAAAGAATTAAATCAAGTCATATGCGGCGGTGATAGTATATAATTGTATGAGTATCATATGTTTGTTTATACTGAATTGTGTGGCTTTACTAAGGGTCATGCGTGACCCAAAACTGCTGCCATTTTGAAAAAGTGACAATATCGTGATTAAATGAATACATGGAGATCTGATGCTGCAATATATCATTCACTCATTTTAAAACTTATAAAGGTTAGAAAAATGCAAAAGTATCAGTCAACTCATCAACTTCCAGAGTGACTGTCAGGAATGGCGTTTTGATGCTTCATAATTCTTCCATTAGGTTTTGGGTCCATTATCTTAGAACCTTTATAAAGGCACAGGCTAAGGATCCTGGAAGTCACTTGGACAAGGACACGCTTCTTTCACCTCAGCTATTCCACTGATTTGCACTTGATCATTTGGACTGAAGCTGCCCTTTTACCAATGAGGACTATGGTCCATTGCTTTACAGAAAGTATGTCTAAAATAAAGTGGAACTTCAGACACACATCTACATAGACAGTTGAAATATGTATGTTTACTGTTTTAACTGACAAAGAATTTGTTATTCTCTACAGAGCTTCTTCTTGTCATTCTATGTAACACCCTTGCTAATCAGTAAGATCACTATAAAACTTTCTGCTTTATTATTACTGTTTCCTGGGTCTGCTTTACTTCTAGCAGGATCAGCGCCCTGATCACTGGATGATTCTGATTGACTGTCCAATAAGAAAGATGGAGGCAAGAAATGTGACACAGGAAGATGACTTGCTTAATTAGGAACGAGTCACCTGTCTGTCTGTAAAGTGTGGAAAATGAGTGTAGATCAAAAGATGGGATTTACAGATTTACAAATCCTTTCCCAGTTAAAACAATATACATGTACACATCTCTGCTGCGTATTTAAATCATTGTGTGGATTGTATTGGTTTTAACACAATGCAAGTTAAAATAATAATTTCTTCAGAAAACGTAGCTCATTTCCATCTGGTATGCCTAGATATGCTCTTAACTAAGAGACCCATTCTTCTTTCCCTAGACTGTGTTGACATTTTCATATGGTATAGAGCAGTGAGATACTAGACCTAGCAGAATATTAATGTACCGTATTTTGCGTTCCATAAGATGCACCGGACCATAGGACGCAGGGAGGTCCGGCGCGCCTTATGGAGCACTCGACAGACCGTAGCTTCTGTCACAGCTTCTGTGACAGAAGCTGTGACAGAAGCTGCAGTTAGTGACCGCTGAGACAGGTGGCGCTGTGATTACAGCGCCACGGTCTCAGTGATCGCACAGAGCAGACGAAGAACGTCCGTTCTACGTCTGATCTATGGTGATCTCGATCGTCGCCGCCGCTGCTCGGTTTTAATACAAGTGATCTAATCAGATCACTTGTATTAAACGAGCAGTGGCTACTACTGTACATTTAGCTCTGCTTAAGCAGGGCTAAATGTACAAAAAACTACTCACCCGGTGGCCGAAACTGCATGTCTCGGGCGTCGGGATTCGCTCCATAAGACGCAGGCACATTTTCCCCCTCCTTTTGGGGAAACAAAAAGTGCGTCTTATGGAAACGAAAAATACGGTACATGTGTCCATACTTAAAGAAGAACTTTATATGAAATCTCAACACCTGCAGTGGGGCTACCCCCACACTGCAAGGGTTAAGTTCTTGTTTTGTATAGGGAGCTAAAATAACAAAGATATACTCACCCGAATATCGGACCCAGCTGGCTGCTAGGCTGGTCTCTGCAGCATTGCTCCCCCTTTGTACTAGCAGTCTAAAGTGCTGTGAATCATCACGTCCAATACAGTGTATTGGATGTGAGTACGCCAAGGGACATTCCATTGCGGCAGTGGAGGGGCTTGGGGTTTAAAAAGGAGTTGCGCTAATATCGTGCAACATAAAAATGTGAAACTGCCACCATTGTATTCTATAGGGTCTTGGCTTTCAGAACATATAAAATGTTTGGGGGTTTTAAGTAATTTTCAGGCCTAAAAATGTGGATTACAACATGTAAACAAAAAAATGAAAAAGAAAAAAAAAAGGCCTCGGTCATAAAGGGGTTAAATGAAATATTTACACAACCTAAACCAACCCCGGCTGCGCTTTTGTTTCTTAGGTTGTCATGGAACTTGTCTAACACACACCCAGACTTAGAATAACCATAAAATTGAAAACTATCTATGATTACAACCATTTTTACCAAAATATAAACGGCTCTAAACTGGGCAAAACAATGGCTCATGTTACAGCATGGAACATAAGGCACTTGTACTGCTTTCACCCCTGCTGCTATGTTTGATCCGCAGTGGAAATACCCAGAACCTCAACGTATGGATAGACACTCTTCCTATCTCCCCACAATGCAGCACTTGGTTCCTAAGTAGCTAATCCCCAGGTCTGAGAATTTTCATGTTGGGTGAGGGAAATGGATACAACCCCTATGTAAGTTTTAAAGTGCCACTTAACTCAGGAGTTAAACATTAAAAATGCATTCAGGTACCTTAACTATCAACAAAAATGTAACGTATTTGTGTATTATTCGGCTGTAGATCCTCAAATCATCTTTGAATTGGTGCTGACACTGTCCTTCCTTCTGGAGGGTGGCTACTTTTGTTCCCCATGGTCCTGTGTGTATTGTAAAGTAGTCACCGCTCCAAGCTTACGCCTATAATGGACTACAATCTCAATACACATTAGTAAACTAAACATAAGATTGTAGTCCATCACAGGAGCGAGCTGTAAGTGGTGTCTACCTTACAACACACACAGGGACCATGGGGAACAAACGTAGCCACCCTCCAGAAGGAAGAACAGTGTCAGCACAAGTTCAAAGATGATTTGAGGATCTACAGCTGAGTGATACACAAATAAGATACATTTTTGTTAAAAGTTAAAGCGGACCATTACCTCCTTTCACTAAAAATCACGCTGATGTAAAATCATCTTACATTCATTAGTTAGATAAACATGTTTTTCATTTACTTTAATTTACTTACAAATAGAGTTCATCTATTTCCTGTTCCAGTTCAGGCACAAATTATGTAATGTGCCCAAGTGTTGCATCTTGGGAAGGTTACATAAGCAGATCATTGCTGGGAAATCTTATCTGTAATCTCATGAGATCTCAGAGAAAGGCATTTTCCTCCCCTGAGATAATGTGCATGGTCACATGTCCTAGCTACATGTGCCAGAGTTCCAGAAAGTAATAGGAGAGCTAGTAACCTGCCCTTAGTAAACATGGCGAGTGCCAGAAGACTGGGGAGGAAAAGAGAAATAAGGTATGCAAAGAATACAAAGCCTGCAATTATCTAGAAGTATGTGTTTGTAGATTGTCATTACTAAACATTTCTAAAGGTGCAGAGCCAAAGGAAATCTCACCGCTCCAATTACTTAGCCACGATCAGGACTCCCAGGTGCTGGTCCAAAAGGTGCGTCTCAACCTTGGAATGTAGTAGTATACGAACAGACCGCACTATCCAGAGAATTCCAATACTGCAGACTTTATTGAAATTCACAGCAAATCCAGTATAACAGTGAATAAAAGTGGATAAAGCAACAAATGCCAGCACTGCACACCCCCGACCAGCTACAACCTCTCACATGTTTCACCCGTAGGCTTATTCATAGATTTGTAGCTGGTTGGGGGTGTGCAGTGCTGGCATTTGTTGCGTTATACACTTTTATTCACTGTTATACTGGATTTGCCAAGAATTTCAATAAAGTCTGCAGTATTAGAATTCTCTGGATCGTGCGGTCTGTTCGTATACTACTACATTTCTAAAGGTGTGTTTGTTGTTATTTTGAAGATATGAGTAAAGTTCCTCTTTAAGGTACTTGAATGCATTTTTAGGATTTAACTCCTGAGTTAAGTGTCACTTAAAATTCCCTCAGCAACTAACAATTTACACTGGAATATCGGGCAGGCCAGCAGTGGATTGGAGTGGTAGAGAAGCATGGGGAATTACATACTGTACCTTTTGCTCCATATATAAAAAGAACCCGTTACATTATCTAGTATGTGCAAAGTACAGGAACAGAAACAAAAAGCCGACCTCAGTTAACCGTATTTCTTTGGCGAGGTCCTTGATGAGCTGTGATGGCTTGAAATGTTCAGGAAGTTCATCTTCATGTTCTAGGAGAGCCTGGCAATACATTTAACGTTTAAAAAAAAAAAAAAACACAGCTTAAGATCACAGGCAAACAAAATCATTCAAGCTAGAGATATGAAGGGGATCTTCTACAACTACATTGTGCTAAAAAATCACTAGCAATTGATCGCTAAGCGTGTGGATGAAATAGCTTCCTATGATGTACACTAGACAAGAAACAAGCATAGTGCAGTAAACTACAGCACCCAGCCATCAATACTATTTCATGGTTCTGAAAAATTAATGCAGGTACATTGTGTTTGAGCAAAGTCTTTCCTGCAATTGTAATAATATTCAAACGTACATATGGGATAACACAGTGCTTGAAAATAACATTAACTTCAATCCTTACATGTTTTTTAGTCCATGATCTAAAGGCTCCATTCAGTATTTTGGCCCCTACGACAAGATGTGGTACTGGCTGCTTCCCCGCCTTATGTAATGCTAAAGTAAAAAATACTCATTGTTAATGCAAAAATGTCAGTCATGCAGGGAAGTCCATTTTATAAAGATACAATACAAATTAGAAAACTAAACATGAGATTGTAGTCCATCACGGGAGCGAGCTGTAAGTGGTGTCTACTTTACAACACACACAGGGACCATGGGGAACAAAAGTAGCCACCATCTCTGAATTCAGAGAGGATTTGAGGCTCTACAGCTGAGTGATACACAAATGAGATACATTTTTGTTAATAGTTCAAGTGGACCATTAAGGCCTCATTAAAACAACTAACAGCCAGCCCATACAGATCCGCGCTGCGTGCACAGCCCTATTGGGCCGCTCCCGGGAAGGACAGGTGCTGCGTGTGATTTGTGCTCGGACACAGACAGGATCCATCCTGTCTGCGTACGAGTATGGACACCCTCACGGACGCGCAGTTAGGGTGAGCGTACGGCGGCATACTCCCATAGAGAAGAACAGGCTGCTGCGTGCAATCACACGCAGCACCTGTCCTTCCCGGGAGCGACCCGATACGGCCGTGCAGGCAGCACGGATCTGTACGGGCCGGCTGTTAGTCGTGTGAATGAGGACTAACTATTAAAGTTTATTTTAAAATAAAGAGTATTTTTATTCTGATTTGTAACCACAATTCAATCCCAACTTTAGATATCAGCCTTAATGACAGACAGTAATTGAAAGAAAAGACCATAAATATTCTACAAGGAATGGGTACATCCCCTGTTATTTTTCTTTTTTGCTGTTTGTGTCCCACTGGGGGACCTTTCCTTCATGTCCTGCTAAAGAAACATGACAGGAAGTGAGAAGAAATCCATAAAGCTGACCAAACACTAATAGATTCCTTTATTTCAGACTGCAGGTTGGACAAAAGAAATTGGATAGATTCTTCCATCCACACTCAACAGTGTGAATGGAGGAAAGCATAACTGAGTTGGACCTTATAACTTAATGCATGTGTACCTGGGCTCTCACAAGCAGGCTTAGGGCACACTTAGTCACACGAAGGATCATGTCTCTGCTGACTACTTGCCAGCATTATGTTTGCTAACAAACTGCGTATTTGTTTTAACGGACTCGCTCCCTTGCTAGCCAGACCAATGAGATGCTGGCTAGCAAGGGAGATTAGGGAGCATTTGGGGCCAGCAAGTGAGCAATCCCATAGAGGTAAGTGGCAGGCTCTCATGAGTGATTTTGCTGCTGCCGATGTGTTGCCAGCTCGTGTGACAGCAGCTTTACTCAGTGACACATAGAGCAAATTGCACTACCCCACAGTAACCAATGGGAATTCATTGTTTAATGTTTCTATTTCAGACTGCATGTTATGAGTTGTTGCACTTGAGATATGCTTTGCATAAGCCAGGGACGTTAACAGGGCTGGATTTGTCACAAGGCCAACCAAGGCCCAGCCTCTGGGCAGCAGGGAGTACAAGGGCAGCAGGGGTGTGGGATTCCTATCTCCCGACACCTGCGACATTCAGTTCCGGGCGCCGGGCGGGTAGTTGTTTACTACATTTAGACTTGCTTTGGACAAGCAGAGTTAAATGTACAGCTGGGAAGCTGCCGCTTGTTTTGTACAAGTGATCTCGGCCTGCAGGTCTGCTATTCTCCATGGGGGGGGAAGGGGTTTGGCGGGGAGGGGGGCGCATTGAGTAAATCCGGCCATGGACGTGCAGTAAGGTCGGAGCTAGGTGATGCATCCCCCCTGCCCCACACCTCTTAAAAGTAAAACTGAAAGAAATCCCAAAGTCTGGGTCATCACCAGAACAGAAGCAACTTGGGACAGTAGTTCTGGTGACCCTGGTAACTACCACTTTGGAAGGATTTCCTCTCACTTCTTGTTGTGGCTATCAGACCACATGGGACACACATAGCAAAAAAAAAAAAGCTTTACCCCCTTACTCTATCCAAAACTAAAAGAAAATCATCACTTTACAAAGAACAGAGCTCAGGCTGAAGCGTATAGAAGGTGTATTCTTTACAGATAAACCAGCCTGCACTTCCAAACTATTAAAGTTTGAGTTGTATATATATTATTCACTTTTTGCTAAAATGATCCCAAAATCAGAACCCTCTGTGCAGACAAAGCCCCATGTGTACAAGGAATTAAGTACATGGCATACAAAAGGTAATCAATATATTTATGCCACCTGATGTCCTGAAAAATAAATCAAATGCATTTCGCAAACAAGGATTTCCTTTCAGAAAACATGTGTCTAGCAGTTGTTTTGTGACTGAAGTATACACTGTATGGATAACTTGATGGATTTTTTTTTTCTGTCAGTTTTTGTTAATGTGAAATTTTAAAAGCTTTTACTTATAGCTGTTCCATTCTTCCTTTTTTGTTGCTTTATTTTTTATATTGTAAAAAAAACAGAGGCCTCATGCTGCTGCTTTGAAAAATAATGTTTATGGCAACTCTTGTCTTTATTTAAAAAAAAAAAAAGAAGCTTTTTGCTTATGACCTACTTGCACAATTGCTTTGTTATTAAAAAAAAACCCACACATTGTTTCTTAGATACCACTTTACATACAGGCCATAAAAAAGAAAAAAACAAACAAATACAATTTTATACTAGCTGAGCATGGGCTATTGGCACACATAGGGGCTGATTGATAACATGTTTTCACAGCGTACATCTATGCCAATTATGTGCACAGCTCATTACTGCCACTAGATGGAGCCGAGGAGCATAAGAATTTGATCCTCGGCTCCATCTAGTGGCAGTAAAGGGCTGTGAACATTATTCGCATAGCTGTGCAAACATGTTATGAATCAGCCCCATAGATTTAGCATATTTTTTCATTCATATTATAATCAATTTAGAATGTCACAATACTATATGGAGTACAGAACAGAGTTCATGTGTTGCAATCTTCGGCCGATGAAGTTGGTCTAAAGAAAACCGGTGCTTTGCCCATGCAGAGTAAAGCAACAGATTTGCTTTAAAAAACAAGTGTACCTTTGTACAGTTTTCCAATAATACATTCCCCCCACCCCCGCTGAAAGCTTCCCCCTAGGTAAAATACCTCCAGCCCTGGTCCAGTGATTTTCACTGCACAGCCCCACTTTGCATGGCACAGTCTTTACTTCAAAAATGGTGGGTTTGTACTGCGCATGTGCTCCACGGTCCGATTCATTCCTAATGCAAAACTCCACCATTTATGGCCCCAAGCAGTCATTCAGAGCATGTCTAATGCCTTGTTCCCCAGCCGCTTATATTCCCCTTTCCTTTGCTTTCCCACCGCCAAATTCAGCAACAAGGATCTAAGAAAGACAGCCCTTTAGAAGCTCAAGTCAGAGCTTAGACAGAGCTGGGAACTCTCTCCCTGCCCTCTAATGACAATGCTGGGCCATTCCTGCTAATGTTACTACAGTGCAGTTAACAAAATGTTTTAAAAAAATAAAAATTCGGGGTATATTCAGCATTTTTAGAATGAAGTCATCTTTCCCACTTCATATACCTCATTACATGCTTTTTCTGAAGTGTCTAGTTTTATATTATGTGTGCACAGGGTACTCTATCCAGTGTTTTTCTATTAACATTTCTGTGCAATGTAACTGCTTAGAAGGCATTTAATGACTATGTTGTTTATTGACATTGAAACACCCTTTTCATGTAGAAAAAACACTTGGATGAGTTGCTCAGTTGACAAAACATACAGGGTTATTGAAATTCTGAACATTATATACACACACACACACACACACACACACACACACACACACACACACCAGATAATTTGCTTTCTCTTAAAATCTTTTCTGTTTCCTGCAAGTCTCAAAACCTGAATGCATGCATTATGCAGATTTCATCTGCAGCTTCAACTTGGAACCCTGCTGACAGGCTAGATAACCTCACAAAGACAAGTATGGAAGCATCCGAGTGGAGCAGGATGTGATATCACTTCCAATTTTGACAGACGCCACGGGTGAGCTTAACCTTCTTGCTGCTGCTGGATTGCCAACACCAATCAAATCACTTCAATTAAAACATAAACTCCAGAATGTTTTTTTATTATTTTAGTTTTGAAATGTTAGAATTTATTTACGTTTTTGTTTATGGGTGCCTGTGACTTTACTGGTAACGGCTTCTCCTTGCTTGTTGTCGCTATGATTTCAAGGCAAGAAATAAGGAGAACAGGGGCCACTGAGACAGGAAGACAAAGGCAACCGCACAGAGGTTTTAATTTTTCCCTACTGTGCTAAAGACAGTATCACTGGCACAGGAAGTTAAATCCCTGTGGCGACACAGACAGCAATCAAAACTACACAGGTTCTAACCCTTCCCTAACCTATCCAAAACAAAGCAAAAAGAAAAACTGTCTGGAGTTTGGTGTCACTTTGAATCCCCATTAAAAAAAAAAAAATCACTGACCAAACAGCATACACGGAACACTGGAATGATACTGGCACAAAAAAAAGCTAAGGCTAGGGGTTTCAGGTGCTGGAATAAAGCTCAGGGGACCCTAAAGGCACCCGTAGGTGTAAAATTTTAAGTACCTTTGAACTTCTCAAGAAGGTGTCTTCCCACATACCAACAAGCTGTCTCATAATTTGGGAACTGGGTGAGACTGACGATCTTCAATCTTTTTTCAACTTCATATGCTCTGTAGATTCAATGATTAAGACACGGATAATGAATACAATTCAGTGGCAAGATGGCAATACTCAACATGTTACTGATATCCCCTATTGTAATTATATGATATAAACAAATCTGTTTTAAAGTGCGGCAGCACCCAATCCAAATCTCTTTTTTGTTTTTGTGGCACAGGTTGAGAATATCAGACATACAGTACCATACCATACTATAGTAAACTGAGTGATACCAACGTAATGTTACTAATACACTGTAACAAACAAATCAAATAAATGTTAGCAACATACATATATGAACATAATACATTGCAACAGTGTTCATAGAGTTCATGGCAGCACTCCAATGTTTCCTTAGACTCAAGAAGGCTAAATCAGTACATACAGAAGTTAAAAGCATTCTAAATGCCATCGCTGACATCTCCTTTGGAAAATGCAGGTTGTCTGGCATTCATGTTGATGCAGATAAGTCAGAAAGATAAAGAATTCTAACTTGTGCAATTTTATGCATACCTATTCCAGGTCTATTACTTAGAAATATAAAAGCTACATAGAGTCAAGCAGCTAGAAATTTTAGAGTCAGACTAACATTGGCAGCTCATACATTCAGTAGTGGCAGGTGTTCTTCATTGTGAACCTGCTCTTTGACTATGCAGGGTACAGTAACACATTTGCTTTAATATCTCTCACCCCAGCATCGTATACTTGTCTGCCTTTTAATCCACCTTCATTCACAGGGGTGAGGAATGGAAGCGCTGTATAAGGTCCAAGTTGGTGTAGTCAGAGCTTACACATAAATGAGGAATTTCTCTCTGCTCCATCTGACAGTACTGGGCCAACCACCAAGCACCAGTGCTGTCATATGAGAGGAAGAGGACTGATCTACATGCTCCTCAATATCTGAAAGTACCATGATGTTTCCTGGCACCTGAATGGAGCTGCTGGGGAAGGGGGGCATTAAAGCAAACATTTTGCTTTGCCGTGCATGGACATTCTAAAGGACGTTTACATTGAGCATTAGAATAGCTGTTTATTGTCTCCACCAGAAGTGCATATGATATGGAGCATTTGGGATATAGGGACAGAGCATTGTCACTATATAACAGGAAGTAAATAAACAAGGACCCTCATTGCAGAATTATTAGAGATTGTTGGCATCAAAAATAAAAAATAAAAACCTATGAAAATGCCCATTTTACTCACCTAAATCTGCGGTTTTGTGACGTTCCCGTCTTTAGTTTTCTAACTTCTCCTGCGCACAAAAGGTGGGGTCCCTTTTATCACCTGCGTATGTGGACACTTTGTGTTGGCTGTCCAGCACCAAAGACCTCTCAGGATCAATAACAAGGGTCTGCAGGTGATGACGCCAGCGCAAGGGGACCATCGGGGACTGGCCAGCGCAGACATATCTGCAGCCCTGGATTACCGGTCCCCTGTACCCGGAGACAGTGCAGATGAGTAACCCAGATTGTTGGCTTAGGCAAGTATAAAATGCTCAAAAAGGTAGTTGATAGAAAAAAAACATACTAAATGAGTTAGAGGAAGGTAGGGGAAAGGATGTTTTTCCTGGAGACAGGCTTGACAGATTATATAAGATTTTGGTGATTGGTTCCCATCTACTTAAAAAAAGTAAGTAAAAAAAATACTTAAAGTAAGAATAATGGTCATACATTTCTCCTTTTTATGAACCATATTTTATCACATAATGATACCAGTGTGTATGTAGGAACCCTATTTATTCATAGAATAAGTAAGGAACAATATTTGAACTGCATTATGATAGTAGTGTGTGGCTTCCACAAATTGTTGCAAAAGTATGCAACTCAGACCCCTGTTTTTATTATAATATTAGAAGCAAGTTTAAATTCACCTCTTTTTAACAGCTAGAAGGGGCGAGTGCTGAGAATTCCGTTTTGTGCACTTTCAGTGAACTGCCTCTCCGACATGCACCTCCCTAGCCAGTTATGCATTAATGAGCTGCTCCCAATGATCTCCTATTGCTCTGCAGGAACCATATGAAGGGCAACTTGAAAGGTAATAAGTCACGTTTTAATACCTTTATAGTAAATCAAGTCATAGATGATCCATTAACCAGTTTACTTGTAGTCAGTGAGAACAATAGTTCCTAACACACCAGAACATTTGGTATAGGTTGCACGTGTGACGGATAATCCATAAAGAGAGCCTCTTACGTTACAAAACAATTTTTAGACAGTTCTCTTAGATCCAGAACCTAAGCTCAAAAACTGACTTCGTATACAGAACAAAAGGAAGACCATTACCTCATCTGCATTTCCACGCTGAGGCTGTGCAGGAAGTGCCCAGAAAATGCTAAGCAGTCCATAGGAGTGAGTGTCGCGTAGATCCAACCTGGGAAGAGATGAAAGTGCTGATAAGTGCCTTGGAAACGAACACTCAAGCATTTGTATTGGCTGAATGACCTATTACTGTGGACTGTTGCGGTATACTGTATGCAATTTCAGCTGCAGCCTTCCCAGCAAAGGTTTAAAAGATGATCAAATGTTATACCTATAACCAACACCTTCAGTTTTTCTCTCTTATAAAATAGCTTTTGCGTCAGTAAAACAAAAGAGTATTACCACAATATTTTTATTTCCCTAAAAAAAATATAAAATTGTTTAGGGAAGCAAATTAGTCATAGAAGCATGACTTTGGTACAGAGCCCGATCATACAGAAGGCAACCTAGGCAGGAGGCTAAGGGTGGCCATACACTAGTAGATTTTCGAAAGATATTTTGTTCGATTTCCTGTTAGTTGAAGGGGTCAAAACCATTATCGATCTCGACCATAGTGCCGATAAAAATGGAAAGGGCTGGGATGCAAACATTTTCTGGAACAAATTAAATTCTAACAGAGTATGTGATTTTCGTTCTGCAAACTCCATTCATTCCAAAATCGAATGTTAAAATAAAACAAAAATTTGTTTGACATTCGTCAAGTCTCTGATGGCATTATTGGGTGGTGAAGAAAGATCTTTCACTCGAAATCTGCAGGTGTCAAGGGGTTCCATCCCACAACATCTTGATAGTCTATCTGTTTTTGCCAGGGTAAAAGGGGCATCATTAACAAGGCAAACTAAGGTCTGGCAGGTCACTTCATAAGAGAGGATGTAATTGTAGGTTGGTGACTGTTGAGGCGGTACAAGCCAGTACAGACAATGCAAATGAGGCCACTCCCCTGCAACTATTGCAATCCTTATCAATCCTATAAGGGGGGGGTCATGGCTGGACACAGAGTGTCAGACAAAATAAAAGCGCTGCGCAAACTGTTTGTGCTACATAAATCCTGTATAATAATAATAATATCACTGCCTGAATACATAAAACTTTCACACAGGTGGCAACGTATGTCATGCATGTAGTGTATAAGATGCGGTTACATTACTGTCACTTGTCAGTCAGATAAACAACATCTCCAGGTGAAGCAAACCTCATTAATATAACAGCTATGCACACAGTTTCTCTGCCCTGTTTCAATGAACAGCTATACAGATTTCATCTTGACCGAAAACTCCCTCTAGAACAGTGCTGCCAGAAAGAAGAGATAAGAAATGTCTTACCTGATGGAATGAACAGGGTCTGTCCTTGTTTGACCGTACACTTGTAACATTTGTCCACCTGATCTGCAAAGAACATCTCGCAGTGATTGGCAGCGGATTGCCAGCGTTCATACAGGGAGATGTTGGCTGAAGTCGGTCTGATCAGATAAAATATCTTTTCACCCTGAAAAAAAAAGTTTAAGAGTCTTTATATCAATAAAAAAAAAATCACAGCCTTTTTTTATCTTTTGAACTTTACTATCGAGTAAATATACCTAAAAAAAAAATCTACACTTTTTATATTTTTAATATAAACTTTCTAGTAGATACTCTACAAGCATGTAAAAGGACAATAGTGACCAGAATATCCTTTTTGTATCATTATAGTCAAATAATATCATTAAATATATATCATAAATATAAAACAAAAAAATGATATAGCATTTACTGTTGTATAGCAGATCTAAAGTAAGACTGTGGACAATAAAAAACACAATAAAAAGGTAGAACTGAGGAAGACTAGGCTGATATTAGAATATATCACAATTAGATCTACATGATAATTACGAGTACAAATTCCTATTCAAACATACAAGTACAGTAAAGTGACTTTGTACAGGCAGTCCCCGGGTTACAGACGTCCGACTTACGGACAATCCATACTTAAGAACGGGGTCCACAGTTCTCATACACCTCTCTTACTACGTATAAATGTATGAGCTGCTTACTACTGCATTTCTTACATTTCTGAAATTATATAGCATGTAGCCACTGCAATACAAAGACCATTTACATTGTTCACGTTTGTGCTTTCTTGTGCTTGTAACTATTTATAGTGGATTCTGCTTTGCTGGAAAATATCTATAATGAGATACCGTCTCTTTTATTTTCTACCTGAAATGTTGTGACTTACTTTCAATACGTGATACCAAGCCGAGGCTCCTCCAGAATCTATGTGGAAGTCGGTGTAACTGTCCTTCACACATATCAAACAATACTTAGTCACTTTTGGTTGTGCTAGAAGGGCATCATCAGGCCAATGGTTTGCCACCCAAGAGAGCTTTTTAACTATCTCCGGAGCTTCCACAAAGCTGGACATTCTGCGGATAAAACAAACAGCATATTTCTGAGCATTCCAGAAACAGACTATACAGGAACATTTTAAAGGCATTCAAGGCAGATAACTTCTTAAACTACGTTGCCTTGCCCGGGGCAAAATAACAGGGTGTTAGCAAAAGGCCCCCTGAACCAGAAACTCGCCTTGCCAGTGCTTCCCTGTTGCTCTGTCCTCTGTTGCAGCCAACACTATAATCTCCAGAGTAGGCTAGTGCTGGATGCTAGCGGGAGCAGTGACATCACTCCTTCTGACACATGATAGTACTTGGGCCTAGCGATTGGCTGCTAGACCCAAGCACAGGAGAGGATATAATTTACTCCACCATACCCGGAAGCACAGGGTATTGTCATCAGCGAAGAGGGAGGAAGGCATTACGGCAGAGCGCTGGCAAAGTGGGTATTAGTGGGTATGGTGGAGCCTTTGCAAAGACACTGTTTTTTGTCCTGAAAGGACAATGTGACAGTGTCTCTTAAAGGTAACCTGAGTACTGAGATAAAAATGGAAGATGCCATTGCTGACTTCTTTCTGTCTCTGGATTCAATATTATAAGTTGCTGGCCTAGAACAATCAACACAGGGTGAAGCCAGAACTACTAAACTGCATACATACAGTACAAACAACCAGGTAATTAACATCTTCAGAAGGAGAGGACAGCAACTGGAGCCATAATACTTGGGATGTCTGATGCTTAAAGGGGTAAGTGGAAATGCAGCATAAAGCCTTTGAGAATTGCAGAAACTTGATGTTTGTGTCCTTACTATGAAGGGTTTCCAGCACTTCTTGTGTGGTCACTGGGATAGACAGTGAACGGAAATCTCTCCAACACACACAGAAATAACAAGAGAAAAGGAAAATGTCTCGTTTGAGACATTTTCTTATCTTGATTTTTCAAAAATGAAGACTGTATCACCACTGGTGTGGCCACTTTTACTGCTGTCTACTATAATTCTAAGTATATAATCTATCCATAAGGTGGATTCATGCTTTCATTTCCATGAAGAAACCTGTGACTGGTGTAACTCAGGGAAGGCAACAGTGATTGGCTGAAATAAAAAACCTGATCCAACATCCATTGACATTGGGTGAAAGCAGCTAACCAACAGGAAAGGAAGGGTGATTTACAAGATAAAAGAAAAAAAGTAAATGGGGACAATAAACAGGTTCTGTAAAAAAGGGTGAGAAATATAAAACCAAAAGGAAAAAATAAAAATGAGAGCAGAGTAAAAGAGGGACAGAAAGAAACCAAAGGCAAATAAAGAGAGTGAATATGAGATAAGAAAAAAGGGGGGGAAATTAAGTGAAAATCAAAAGCAGAGAAACAGGATGTAGATGATTGAGTAAAAAAAACTGTAATGCAAGCTGCAAGACACATCGGGTAGGGAGTTTAACAAGTCTGAATAACATAGGTCACGGTTGAGTTGAGGTTAACAAGTCTGGGACTGGTGTTCTAAAACAGACTTTTGCAGGACTACAAGCAAATTATCAGCAAATTCAACACTCCGTACTGTATCCTTTGATAAGTAACTCATATAACTCATACTTATTTCTAGGCTCACCTTGTGTCCGAGAATTCTAAGTTGATGACATTGAGTACTCTTTTTCTGTTAGTACTGTAATAATAGTCAACAAACTCTTTCAGCTTCATCTTGCAGTCTTTCTGCTTTGTGACATCGGTGACATCAACTACTCTCTCGGGACCTGAAAAGCAGAATGTAGAAAATGTTAAGGGCGTTATGCTTTTCTTTCTGTATATTATCTCCTTCTGGTGGCCGTTTACGTAAAGAACTGAGTATTTTAAATGCCTTTTATTAGTGGAAAGTATCAGAATTACCCATGTATAAAACAATGAGTTCTGTGGACAAGTTAGTATTTAAGTATAACGCTAGCCAGAACTTTATTTTCTAGTTTTAGGTAGAGTAGGGTTAGGATCTCTCAGGTATTTACTGCTGTCTGAAAGGTATCGATGGGGAAGGGGGGAATTTGATAGATCCAAAGTTTATTTGAACTTGTAATGCAGAGTAGGGTGTATTGAGTAAAATTACTCTGGTTAGGCAGCTCTCAGATAGAGACCAAGGGGTTTTACAAGGAGATAATGACGCCAAAATTTAGAGTCCAAATTAGAATCATTTACTCATTAAAAAAAAATCAAATTAAAAGAAAGACAACCCAATACATATCAGGGGATCTAAGGCTGCCCCTTCATCAGGACTCAATCTACTGATTGATATACAAATGGGTTAAGATAATTCTGGGATAGAAATTAGGTATTGTAATGCAGACCCTGGCAGTTAGTTTTCTTTGGATCTTTTATGAGGAAATAAATATATCTTGGGCATTTGGTGTGATGTTCTTACTATTCCAAAACCTGTATATTTTTAAAGTTGTCTGTATTGGGAGGGGATTTCCTAACCAGACCTAGTGAAAGTGGTCATTGTAATAGGAAGTGACAGCAAATATCTCCAATAGGGACATTTACAGAAAAAAAAACACTTTTTAGTGGAGTGTAGAAAAATTAGAACCTCTAATCAGGTTTTTTTTTAAGTCTGGGTCCTTCTTATGACGATCAACTGTAACTGCTTTGGGGATCATTGGCATTTGGACAGGAGCTAATGGGAAATCTTTTAAGCAGGAACCCACACAGTAATAAAGACCTGACAGAGATTATAACCTTGCCTCTCTGTGCAAAAAAAAGCAAGGGATTATGTTTGTGATGCTGTTTCAGTTTTACCTCTATCATACTTATTAAAGCTGATCTCATCCCTGGGCTCCCCCTTTTCCCCACCCCAACCCCCTCTAATTGATTACTGGAATTACAAAATCTCCTTGTGTTTACAGGAGCCTAGATAGCAAGCAATTGAGCTGCAAGTTTGAAAATGACTTGCTAACCTATTGCAGACTTGCCAAGCTTCACAATTTTGTTGCACAATTACAGCAAGTCTGCGTTGCAAGTCTCCAGACCAGCGAGCTTGCTAATACCTGCAGGACTCTTGCTGTAGACTTGCCAAGCAAATTTGCTACAAATTCAAAAAGTGTCACCTAGAACTTGTGCTGCAAGTGTTCTGCAAGTCTACAACTTGCCAGGAATATGTGCAGCAAGTTAACAAAATTACAATTTCACCCGGCCACAAGTTTGTAGTAAGTTATCCTTGCTATCTGGGAGGGTGCCCAAGTCACAGCTTGCATTATATGGAATCTTCATTTTGGCAGTTCAGTGACAAAATCCTTTTAAGATACAGAAGAGGGGTCTGCAGCTGTGACATCAGCGTGAGGGGACCGTCAGGGACCCGTCAGTGAAGACACATCTGTAGTGGTGGATTATCAGTCCCCAGTACCTGGACAACTCCTTGGTCATGATCCACCGCCCGGCTTTCTGATTATCCGGGCCCATGGATGGCGGTATCAGGAAAAAATATTGGTACTCATACTCGATACCATTGGAATATACTAAATATTGTTTTGGGTTTTTTTCCTTGACATACACTTGAATGCACAACAGCATAAAAGGGATAATCTGTGTGCTTCTGTCCACTGTGCATAAAAAAAATAATCAACTCACTTAAAAGTGATGATACATAATGTCCTCAATTATACAACATGAATGGAGTATATCACATTATAAAAGATAACGTAACCAGGTAGGTAACCTGGGCACTCCAGCGGTTATGGAACTACCCATGAGGCACTGCAAGACTGACAGCTGCACTCATGATTCCCAGAACCAGAGGCATAATGGGACTTGCAGTTCCAGGATAGCCAGAGTGCCAAAGTTGCCTACCCCTGATGTATGCATAATAACAGAGAGTGGGAACATACCAACATAATTCTCCACGTCACTGACATAGAAGGTGGGAGCGGGTACAGAAAGGCCAAGACCATCTTTCTTTGGCACCTGAATAGGTTCTGTAAAACCAGTGTCTTCAAAATACTCCACTGTTAACTGATTGCCGTTCAGTTTAGCCACCACATCCTCAGCACTGGAAGAAAAAGACCAACATTTATGATTAATCATACCTCAATCACCGGAAGTGGTTAAGTTCATCTGTTGCTTAATCTTTTTTCATGAAGTGTTCAAACCATGCAGCAGACCTTGCTGGCAAATGACAGTGACATGATCTACTGACACTATAGATAACTAATGAACATTTATTCATTCAATACCAGTAGACTGTCAAGGTGGAGAGATGTAAAAGTTGATGCAAAGAGCATACAAACAATTGTTTTTACGTTTCACACATTTGCTAGAACAATGACAGTTGGAATCTAATTGGCTCCTATAGCCAACACCTTCCTTTATTTTAATAGCTTTTTTAGAATTTTCTGACAATGATCAAATATAGAAGACTTGGACCTCTTTATATTTGGCTTTTTAGACTTCTGAACCCAAGCACATTAGGTCCCATAGGTGGGTGAATGGTAATTCAACTTAAAAGAATATGCTAAAAACTAATATATCTGTGTTTCAGGGGGACTGATTTATAAAAAAATAAAAAAAACAACTGCATACTATTATGACAGAGTAAATGTTTTAAACAGGGATGCACCGATATATCGGCCGCCGAAACATATCGGCCGAAAATGGCACTTTTGGCATAATGCCGAAAGAGCCATGTTTCGGCCGATACATCGGGTCATCCCTGGTTTAGTTTCTCCCCGCTGGGCGCTGTTCCAGCGGGGAGAAAAGAAAGTGACAGCCGCCGAGCGCTTTAAATATATAAAACATTATCATCTAGTTAGGATAATGTTTCCTTTTTGGTCTGTTAAGACTGAAAGTGTTTTTTGTATATCTATTCGATAATTTAAAATAATAATAATAATATCTGTTGATGTCAGAAATTCAGAGCTGGTCTGTGTCCTGTGCACTCTTCCTTTACACACACAGGGATGTCTATTCAGCCATCCGGGTTTTATCTTGGGACTACAGAATGATTAATCTCTATGCTGTGTATAATAAGATAGGGGATGAGTCTGAGTAGTTCCGGGAAGGCATGACACAAAAAGTCGATGTTGTCTGTCTACAACAAGACTTATGCATTGAGTGCATTTCTGGCAGATCAACAGGTATTGGTCTGTACTTGCAGGGTCTTTAAAAAGATAAAACATTGGTAAGTGTGCATTGTGACATAAGGAAAGGGGAAATCATCAAGGGGCGATATATTTCCCCTCCATTTCTCTCAAATGTGCAAGACTAGCTTGAATCCAGACCGGGTTTTCGGGTAGACTTTGGGTCTGGGTAATCCAGTTCAGATATGTTGTCTCTCACCTTGATTGATTAATGAATAATTATCCAGGTGATATAAAAGGAGAATGCTGGTGCATGATGGGGCTCTGGCCTTCTGAGAGAGCTGCAATTTGGAAATTATTGTGAGTAAAAGGTTGCTGGAAATACTTTAGTTTTGTGAGATGGCTGAGAGAAACTCACCACCTGTTAGAGAGGACATCTGTCTGTTTAGTTAGAGCCTGAAAGGAAATAATTTTGCCCCTCAGCACCAATAGCAAGTAAAAAGGTAAGTAACTGGCATTATTTGTGCCAGTCGGATATAGACATTGGTTGGTGTAAGGTCAACATCAATATTTAAGCTTCATAGCGAGGTAGGAAGTATAAGATAGAGCCCACAAGCTAAACTGGAGCCTTTCCTTGGCAGTGCCCCTAGTGGCAGAAAGGCATATTTCTTTTTGAGTTTGAATAGTACAGTGTTACTTGAATTGTATTGCAGGATTTGCTTGTCTTCAGCTGAGAGAATGTGCAATAATTTAAGACTTTACATAAAGTCTCAGAAATTTTATTCTATAGGGTCTTGGCATTCAGAAAATATATAATGTTGGGGGGTTTTACGTCATTTTCAGGCCTAAAATGTGGAATATAACATGGGTGCAAAAATTGAAAAAAGGGCATCAGTCATGAAGGGGTTAAGGTCTTCATGTTATATAGTTTGAATACCACGTCAAATATATTATTTATCATTGTAAAATAACATATTCCACGCTCTTTTTTTATTATTTACATTTTTCTGGGGAAAAAACAAAAATGGCTTTGGAAAAACTTTTTTTTCCTTCTCTTTTCCCATCTCTACTGGAGAGTCAAACTGCATTATGGAAAATGGCTAAATTTGGTTCAGACTACAAAGAAGCAATGTTATTGTACAAAGTTTTTTTTTCCTGCCTTTAATGATATAAAACTCCTTTTTTTTTTTACACCCTCCCCCCCCCCCCCCCCCAAACAACCCGATATAGATAAGTGGCTTTTAACTATGGAGATCAACTAATTAAGCATCTTGTCTGCAGTATACCTTTCAAAATCTTCAGATTACATAAAACAATTAATTATACCTCTCATGCCAAGATTTTAGAGTTTTTCTCCAATATAATAATTCTGTAACTAAGTCTTAATCCTTTGTTAGCTTAGAAGATGTCCTGAATATGCACATGAGGACCGCTCCCAAACAACCTTTATAATTTGTTGTCAAGCCCTTCACTAACCTTCTTCTCTGAAGAGTTCTTTTATGAAGCGTTGTTTATAAAGGCAAGGGTATGGGTCCACTTGCTCTACAGCTAAATGACAGGTTCCCTTTACCTCCCCCCCCACACCAGCAGTACTTACCTTTCCATTGCTTCCCCCACTGACCCATTTAGCTATCAAGAGCAGGAGAAGCTGCCTCATGTAAGCTGGGAAGCGTAGCTCACACAGGGCTGTAAATATTCCCCATGCAACAATGCTGCTTAGTTATTGGCCCAGCAATATCAAATGCTTCTCCTACCGGATAGGGGAAAAAATTAATGAACTCTGGGCAAATTAAATTTTAACCCTTGCAGTGGGGCTACACCAAAACTGCAAGGTTTAAGTGCTTGTTTGGCCTAGGGAGCTAAAATTACTCACCCGAATCACAATTCTGGCTGGCTTCCAGATCAGTCCCTTCAGTCTCTCTCCCCCTCCACTCTGGCGGTCTAAGGTCCTGTGAGTCAGCATGTCCAATGCAGTGTTGGAGGTGATGATGCCGAGGGAGATTCCATCGCCAGAACGGAATGGGAGTGAGGATGAAGGAAGGGAGGATGATCTAGGAGCAGGCAGGGATCGCAGTTCGGGTAAGCCTAACGCTATTTTCTCTCCCTGGGAAAAACAAGCACTTAACCGTTGTAGTGCAGGAGTAGCCCTACAGCAAGGGTTAAGATTTAATTTGCCCAGAGTTTTTTTTCTTTTTTTAATGCCAACCTGTTGCTTTCCCTGCATGGGCAAAGCCCCAGTTCATTTTAAGCAGCACTGCACCTCTGCCACACTATGTCACCATGACTGACCACGCAGCTTGGGGGCCAACATGTGTGTCTGAGACACTCATCCTCCCAGCAATGCCCAGTAAGGGAGAAGCAGGACTGGCTCTGATCCTGGAGAGGAGACAAACAAGAAGCAAATCCCAGAACAGGAGAAAAGGAGGAGGTGTGGCTCTGATTTTTTTTAAATTCTTCTAAACTTACTGAACTTTCACAAAGGGTCGCGGATTTTCTGACACTGATGGGAGCACAATTCTTCTTTAATTACACGCGTAATCTAAATCGCTGTCTTTTGATATTAAAAATCATGAAGACCTCATGTATCGCTACATATGAAACTTAAAAGAAAACGTACAAACTACAAAACACTGTTTATGACAGGCTCCAGAATTCTGTTACACTTGTAATGAATTATTGATTTCATTTATGGATTATAAACATAAAAAAACAGACATGCCTATTAAGCATTTATTGATTTATTTGAAAACATTTATTTAAACAAATTGCTTACATGACATGAGAAATGAGACATGACAGGAGATGGATTGTAAGGCCGACTTGCAAAGAATTATTAATACAGCGCGTGGCAGTTTATTAACAATTCATGTCGTTTTCAAATGAGAAAAGCAGCAATCGAGTATAAAGCAGAATCTGTTGTTAATAAATGGCTATGTGTCATTGTCATAATGGGGCCTGCAGAGCCTCTTCGTTAATGTCCCAAGATTCTTCCACAAGAGGGCGCTACAAATTTTGTACCTGTGACCCACAAGTTATCGCATCCGCACAATTGTGCACTGTAACTGGACTTGCTATATTTTTCTTGAAGACGTTTCACTTGACATCCAACCAGCTTTCTCAATTCAGAATGACTTGTACAAAAAGTCTCTGGGAATAAATATGGTGAATGTTGCACCAATCCACATAATCTGTTAGTGGCAACCAGGTGTTGATTGCATTTGCATAATTGAAGCTAGGAGGTGTTATTAACCTGCCCAGAGAGAGGTGTTAATCAGTGCAATCGCCAATTAAAAATTGTAATTGAAAATTACTGGCTCCTAACTTTTTTTTAACTGGCTTCTAGATTCAAAGCAAATTTGTCAAGCCCTGAGATAGGATGTGCTTGACTCTGTTTCTGAGAGATCAAAATTCAGATTTTCAGATTTAATAGAAAACGACAGCATATACTCAGATCACCGTGTCACCTTGGGGAAGGGACTCTGCATTGCCCCAACACATTGGCTTTATGATCTATGTGACGCATTTATAATAAACAAGAGTCACATTTGCACCTTGAAAGATCGAGTGCTTTTCCACTTCCCAGCATATTGTCTGCATCACTAATCAGTTTGACTTTATCATTGTCTGAGGGATTCAGGGTAGATCTGGGGGAAGTACTAAGAACCCAACCCCTCCAATTTCAGTCTGATTTTATAAAACCTCCATTACATACTAAAAAGTCGTTTATTACAGCAGCCTTTCTCAATGAGGAATTTGTGGCACTCTAGGGTTCCTCTACAGGTTGCTAGAGATTCCTTGAGCAATGAATTGTGGCAGATTGATCTCCAGCCTGATGGTAACTGCATATTTCTGACATTGACGTTGCATAGCCAGCAATGTAGGACATGCAGACCCCCCTCTTCTCTTCTCTCAACTAAGTAACCATTGACACCAATTATTTCTTCTGCTGCCTGTAAGGGGATATTTTTCCTAT